CTTTGCTATACTCCCAGGAGAATGCCTATTTCAAGGTGACATGGATGCCCATGCCTACTTTGCAAGCTTGGAAGAAGTCATAGCTAGAGAGAACTGTACAGTCAGGCTGAGAGATGAGCCCAACTGCACATGCTTCCCATTCCATTCTTCCCATCACTGCCACAGAAATAGTCCTGGGCTTCTTCCTTGGCCTTTAGCGCACTCATTTTGGCTGGGATGTTTGGTTCTTGTTCATCTTTGCCATTGAGCAAAAAATAGAAATATGTTCAGCTGAATGTGATATTTTTCCTAAATTTGAAAGGAGAGGAAGAGACAAAGTGTTTCCAGCGCTGACTTTTCGTTTTTGTTCCCCCTGATATGTACTCAATAGATATTAGTTTCATGTACAATCTGAATTAAGTTAACAGAGATGGCAATTAAATGGAGGATAATCAACAGAGCCAGCAGAATTCTGAATTAAAATGTACTTTCAGTAAAACATGATGCTTCTACAGCCAAAGGTCCTCTCTGGGTATATGTGGAGCACACTGTATGCACAGAGGTCTGTATGGCACAGAGGTCTGGAGCTAGTGAGTCTACCCTTGTTACTCCTGCGGAAGAGCTGACCACCCAGCCCTTCTCTGTAGGGAGCCCTGCATACCTGGGTCATGCTGCTGTATGCACTGTCCTGAGGAAAGTTCAGTTGGTTCATTTGGTTTTGATGGATCAGTTAGACACACGTTGGCTGAGGCCTTACATTTAGGTAAGTATACAAGCTATGACCACCTGTAGTATTTACTTCTCTCCTTGCTGCTACAGAACACATGACAAAACCAACTTGAGAAAGACATGGTTGTGGAGGCATGGGACAGAAGCATGAGGCAGCTGTTCAGGAATCAGAGAGAGATGAACACTGGGGCTCACAGTCTTCTTTATAATCAGGCCAGGACCACAGCCCCTGGTACTGTCACCCACATGAAGAACTAATTAACCTAATCTAGAAACTCCCAGACATTTCCAGGGGCTTGTTTCCACAGTGATTCTAAATTCTATCAGTATGGCAATCAAGAGTAACCATCAGATGACTTTATTAACACTTACTGTTGCCAAGAATATATATAAATTTAAAAAATCAGTAGAAAAGTAATGAATTAACAAAACTCACCATGATAATCTATTTCTCCTACCTGTCATTAAATCCAGCTCCCAGACTATGTTGAAGGGTCTGAAGAGGGATTGGATACTTTTTGATGGATTGAATTCAGAAGCTATATGAACAATAAATGAGAATTTCTTGTTTTATGGCTATGTATAAGAAAACTGAAGGCTTTAAACAAATGTTTCAATAAAAAGCGCAGTGCTGCTAGTTTCCATAGGTGACTTTGAAGACATGAACTTTTAGGGTAAGTTACCATTTGTGGGACTTTTATGAACTGTGGACGTAGCCATAGACAATACTCTACACAACACTGAGACTTGTTGGAACGAAGAAAGCAAAAGCAGTGGGGAGGGTTGGAGAAAGACAGCTCTCTTCATTCTGAAGAGATTGACTGGGCATCAACAATGTGTGAGGGCCCTGAGAACATGAAGTCACTGCTGACCCTCTCTTAGAAAATGGAAAATAATTCAAACTCATACAGAATAAGCACTCAAAGATAGTGATGGGTTCAGTGCTAACTGCTGGTAGAACAGATGGTGTGGCCATGATGATCCAGTCTGAAAGAAACATCTAGGGAAAGACTGTCTCTACCCAAAATGACCAGGAGGGGCTGAGACACCTTAGAGTACATGCCGATCTTAGCATGTCCTAGGGTGATGAGAACTAAAAGAACTATAGATGTGATTAAAGAAGACAGGGGAGACTCTCATCTCAGAAAAGCCACTCAGGAATTTTAGAGATAAAAATATACTCGATATCCATTTAAGACCTTAGTCTTAATGTGTCTGAAAGCCGTGTGAGAGGCCATCAGGCACACTGAAAAACAACTAAATCAGAGAGACAGGACTGAAGGAATCAGGCAGAGGTGCTCAAAGACAAACACCCGGAAGACTGTGGAGGCTGCCTGAGGGCCCAGGTAGAGCTTCAGAAGCTGGAGCATGAGGGACAAGAAAGAGGTGGTGTTAAATGACATAATTGTCATTTCTGATGTGAAGACTCACTCATTCTTGGACTGTACAACGGACTCTTGCACCAGATTTGAAAAGCAGACCCACCAGGGAGCATCGTCTTACAGAGAATCTAAGCATAATGGGATAATCCATCTGCCTTCATCTAGAGCTGTTTCCTGCACATGCTGTCTCCTTTGCCAATAAACCATGTCCTCAAAACACCAAAGCCACTGGCAGTTCTTGCTTGTAGCCCTTCCTAGCATGCATGTTCTTTTATTGCTTGTATCTGGGCTAAACTGTTTCTACCTTAGGAAAGCCTTCTCAGAATTCCTTCTTCAGTCTTATTCCTGCTGCCCATGGGGATAACCTGGCCATCTTGAGACTACTGCACTCTTACTGTTGTGTTCTGGTTGCTTGTTTAACTTTAGCTCCCATGACTCTGTGAGTCCCCTGCAGTTGGGCTTACCATGCCTGTGGACACATGAATGAGGTGATCGTGTCTATCATCACCTCAGAAGTCATAGGAATGAATCGAACTATAAATGAGTGGATTGTATAATAGCCACACTAGGGCCCAAAGACAGCAGAGAGCAGCTACAGAAGCTAGGGCTGCTCATAGACAAAGTCAAGTTTCCTGCCTAAATGGAACACACACACACAAACACACAAGCACACATACATTCACATAATACCTATAAGCTCACACACCTATACACTCACACTCTCACACACTCACACACACATACTTACATACTCATACATTCACAGGTAGGGTAATTTCTACTACATACTACCTCTCTACACATCTTCTGTATGTTTATTTAAAAATGTTTAAAACAAATAAGAGATTTTTAAGCTTACTTATTTCACTTTATATAAAAATGTGATGCCCTTGGATATGTATATGTCCCACTGTCCTTTTCTGCGATCACTGATCATGTCTCACGATAAGGACATCTTTGATTGAGTCTCTTTGCAATTTTCAAGAATTTTATTCAAAGTAATCTCACTTAGTGTTCAGGAAACCAGTTCATCCACAAGTTTCAATGCATTTCAGAAATGGTCCAGTTAAACTAGAGCCCCTTGTTGGTATAACAGGGGAAAGGGAGTTGATAAGGCGGTCTGTGTGGTCCACGCAGGAACACATGGCTTCTCCAGTGATGTCTGTAATATGTAACATCAGAGAAGCCAGAAGGCAGGATCACAAGGTGATCAGTAGAACCTATGAGCTGAGACACTAAAAGTGCTGGAGGCTTTGATCTTGTAAGGACCCAGGAAGAGGACCCCCCAACCCAGGAAGAGGATCACCCCCTTGGGTGATCAGCGCGCACCCAAGGAGACACGAGAGACTGACTTGATGCAAAATAGCAAAAGGCAGTTTACTAACAAGGGCCGTTGGATCAAAACTCATCCCACGCAGGGGAGAGAATTTCTATGAAGACCCCAGGAAGTTTAGAACTTTTATAGGGGGAGGCACAAGGGGGAAGGGAAACGCGGGAAATTCTGGCGCGGTTACATATGATTGGATATTTCAAACATCAGCACTTTGAGTAAGCAATCATTTTGACAGGCTGGATGGCCCACTATTTTTGACCATGAAGCCTCAGACCTTCTAGGATAAACATCAGGTGGCCCATTACTCACTTGGGCATGTTTAGACTGGTCAAGATATGCCTTTGGTTGTTTCTACATTTCTGGTCACCTCGTCCCTAGAGGGGCTTGATATTTTTATTATGGCTATTCTCAGCAAGCTCAGCAAGCCGTCCTGCGGTCTTTGCCAAGTTGTTTGTGGTCTCTGCTGAGCTGTTTTAATTTTTACTCTTACAATCTGAGATCACTCTTTGTTCCATATGCAATTCCCACAGAGTTCCTTGCTTTGGTCAGACACGCTATACATTTGGAAATATAAAATTAAGACAAGCAAATGGAGCTACAGAGAATGGGCACAATGATGGCCCCAAGATGGCTCAATAGCTGGAAATTGGCAAGAGGCACAAACTTAACAACCAAATACCAGATGCAGAAGACAATGATCTGAGGCAGATTGCTTGGTTGTCACACGTAAGGCCTTAGGTTCAATCCTCTGCACCCCTGAAAAAAAAAAAAACCAAAACACCCACAAAAATCAATGCCACCTCATACAGAATGCACACACAGCTACTTAGCTGAGCTCACCCCACATCATAGCTGATGAAGTGAAGATCCAAGTCTTTAAAGGTATCTCGTGAATTTGGCATTTTCCAGTTAAAAGGACAGGGAAGGACACAAGCATTCCAGGTTGACAGAGAATTTGGTACTTCTATTTAAGGTACCACGTCTTATTCACACAAAACAAGAGAGGTAGCTTGGACAGTCTAGCTTTGAGTATCCCATGTGTTCACTCAGGCCTCCTGGAGAACCTTGAACATCTTTCAGAAGCAGATAAATGGATTTTGTGACTCTAGTGGAGATAGCCTCTTATAAGGAAGAGCCAAAATCCAGGGTTCTTTGAACTCTGTAAACAGGATAAAAGCTGGCAGATTTTCAAACCTTGTCAAGAGAAACCATTAACTGAGCATGTCCTCTTGGGATAGATATGAGTTCAACGACAACCTAAGCTTCTCCCAGGTGTTTTCAGTTAAGATGGGGGAGTACTGGCCTGAGAGTCTGGATACAGATATTTGGGAGTGTCCATTGATATGAATAAGAACGAACCCTTAACTCAAGATAGCCAGGGACAGGTGACACAAATGGGAACTAAATATCTAAAGGATGTTTCCTGTATCTTTGAATGCCCAGCAGCCTGCTTGTCTGCACGGAACCGTTGAGCTTAATTCTGGACAAGCATATCGTTTCTCCTAATCATTCGTACTAGCCTTGAGACACATGTTCACTTCTGCCGTTGTTTAACCCTCTGTCTTTTCTTTCTCCAGCGGAAGATACCAGTCTATCTCAGAAGAAGAAGGTGACCGTGGAGGATCTTTTCAGTGAAGACTTCAAAATCCATGACCCAGAGGCAAAGTGGATAAGCGGTAAGTCCACAGTCCTTGAGCGAGTGCCTAGGCGGTCCTCCCACTCCCACCTCCTCTCCATCACCTCTGTGTAGGTGAAGCTCTTCAGAGGCTCTGATCTGTGGGTGTGATTATCAAAGCATTGCCATCATAAGAACATGTAACCCGAGATAGCCACTCCTCACTCTACAGGCTGCCTCACAGACATCAGCACAGCCTCAGCTTTGTGAGAAATGGGTCTGCTGAGGACCCATCCTCCATTAGCCTCCTTGTGGTGCCTTCCTCCTGGAGCCATGACTTCTCTGGGCAGGTTGCTAAGCAACAGAGGCCCTTGGTGCCTCAGCGGAGCCTGCCTTCTCCATGGTGCTGGTCTTCTCTGCCTTCAGCTCACTTTCACTCCCTAGGGAGTTAGCTGTGACCAAGGACTGAGCTAGGTCACTGCCAAATACAGGGATCTGTGCAGATGCTGAGAAGTATATCTAACCGGATTCCTCCTCATTTTCTAGTTTGGGAGACTTTTCTTCTTAAACAACAAAACAAAACAGAACAGTCTGCAGATGGCAGACTATTCCTGACTCTTAATACACAGGATAAGGGGATCTGAAATCCCATGAGCCTCCTCCCTGGCCCTCACTGGCAGGGCAGGCTGTATCTCTCAGGCTGTGCCCATCCATAGCTGCACTTTGTATTGTGTTTACTGCTCTTGTGTGACCCCTCAAGTTGGTAAGCCTTTCTAGTGTGCCAGGTCCAGGCCCAATCCTTGCTTTTATAACCTAGAGTTTCAGAGATCAACAGATTTCCTAAGAGCCTGACACCACAGAGCTGATCTGCAGCACAGTGGGCTGGCCACTCACCTGATACCCAGTTTTTTGTCCTTTGTATTGTAACAGTGTGTGTGTGTGTGTGTTTGTGTGTGTGTGTGTGTGTACATAAACATGCATACATTTTTGTTTTGACCCAGTGTTTAGGCAGGTCTGAGGGCTCAGACAATGTTCAATGTCAGATCTTGAGTATAAAACAGTTTTCTTGGGAGCTCAAAGATGCATTCTGTCAAGAAACATTGATTCTAACTCAGTAGATGCAGAAAGACAGGATTCACTTTCTCATTCTCCATGGGAAGACGTTTAGGAGACCATGAATGGTCTTAAATGGATGGCTTGGGTTTGTTAGATAAGAGAGAACAGGCCTCTGGGAAATGTAAGTCTAAAACATCAGCCTGCGCCAAACTGTTATCAGAAGAACCAAATGCAAGCTAAGATACAATTCCCAGGGATGAGAAAGTAAAATAAATCCAAATAACAAGGCAAAAGCAGGTTCCAAGGATACATGGAAGGTTAGAAATAAGAGGCACCAAATCCAACTCTGGAGTTCAAAGCTCACTGGCGGACTTGGGGTTGGGGGCAGGTAGAAAGATTCCAGGAGGGGCCAAAGAGTAAAGATGTCATGAATGAAGAGGCCAGGGCAGGAAAGGGGATGTAACTGTGGATGGGAAAGGAAAAAGAGGGGAGGGGAGGTTAGGGAAGGGAAGAGGAAGTGGGGGAGAGGAAGGGAAGAGGAGGGGGGAGAGGAAGGGATGGGAGGGGAGGGAAGGGAAGAGGAAGGGGAGGGGAGGGGAGGGAAGAGGAAGGGGAGGGGAGGGAAGAGGAAGGGGAGGGGAGGGGGAGGGAAGGAAAGAGGAAAGGGAGGGGAGGGGAGGGGAGAAGGGAAGGGAAGGGAGGGGAGGTGAGGGGAGGGGAGGGAAGAGGAGTGGAGTGGAGAAGGGAAGGGAAGGGAAGGGAAGGGAAGGGAAGGGAAGGGAAGGGAAGGGAAGGGAAGGGAAGGGAAGGGAAGGGAAGGGAAGAGAAGTAAGCTATGAAAAGGAGGTACATGTTGCATAGCTTGCTGAAAACCCTTCCTCTGGGCACAACTCCTATGCTGTCAGCAGTTTGCGCTGGGAGCTGGTTCTGATTAAATTAGAAGCTGCCTAGAGATGTGCTGAGCCCCTCCCCCATGCTGGGGGGTAATTTAAGCCTCTTCCTCTTCTTTTTCTTTCCCCCTTCTCTCTCCCCACCTCTCTGGCATCATCTTCTGAGTGTCTGGTAAGCATTTACCTATCAGTAAGCACCTCACACCATTGAGCTATTTGCTTCCCGCAGACTCACTAATCCTGTTTTCAGATGTGTAAAGTGAGGTTAACCGTTTAAGTAACTCAGCCCAGAGCCCATTATCAACCTAGTTTTCTCTGGTGTTTCCAAATTGCCACACTAGGTGGAACCCAGGTCTCTCCAATCCAGGAAGTTCTCTTTCAACCTCACCAGCTACTTTTTCTGGTTTTAACTAGTTTCTGGGCTGTGAATATTTTAGAGTTCCCACCATCTTTTAAACTTCTCTGTTCTTGGAAGTAACAGAGCAACCAAGTGCTGAACGGAAATAGAGAAGTTCTCCACTGAGAAAGTAACTAGGGTTTGTTTTGGGGGAGAGTGTTTGCTTGTTTGTTTGTTTGTTTGTTTATTTTGTAGGCATCAGTCACTGATGTTAACATGTACCTGGGAATTAATATTGGGGCTCATGCTCTAGAAGTAAGGCTCTGTTTTTATCATAAGGAGACATACTAGTTTGGATTTTTAACTTTTTTTTGGGGGGGTTTGGTTTTTCGAGACAGGGTTTCTCTGTGTAGCCCTGGCTGTCCTGGAACTCACTCTGTAGACCAGGCTGGCCTCGAACTCTCAAACTCAGAAATCCACCTGCCTCTGCCTCCCAAGTGCTGGAATTACAGGCATGTGCCACCACCGCCCGGCTAAGGATTTTTAACTTTTAAGATTATAGACCTTAATTAATTCTTTTTAAATAGATTAGTGGTTTCATTGGTCGTATAATAATTACATAAGTGAATAAAATGTAATTGATAGTAAAATTACAAAACCCTAAGCAAAGTTCGATGGCTTCAGAATGGCCATTCTGATAGACGTTCACTGAGTTGTTGAGAACTAGGACTGGGCTGGTGTGTGTGTGTGTGTGTGTGTGTGTGTGTGTGTGTGTATCATTATACCATCTGCTTTTATTTGTCAGTTCATTAGAATAGTGATTTTTATTTACTTTATTGTTTCCTAAGACTACCTTTTCTGACAGCTTTAAATCTTCTAGAATCCCGAAGCTCTTGTAGAATTCCCTTGTGTGTTTGTTATAACAAAAGAAGAACAGAAACTAACAGAGCTGACAGAGCCACAGGTTCCTGGAGGATCCATCTTGCATGCATGTGGAAGAGAGGCTAATAACAGGTGGTCGGTCCCTCCACATGTGTGCTTCGTTGAGGAACGTCTTGTGTTTGCTACAGTAGGTATACTGCCCTCGCAACCTTTGGGTGCAATGAAGAAACACCATGACCAAAATAACTCTCATAAAAGAAAACATTTAACTGTGGACTAGCTTAAAGTTTCAGAGACTTGGTCCATTATCATCACGGTGGGGAACATGGTGGAGCCCCAGCCAAGCAGGCAGGGTGCTAGAGAAGTAGCTGAGAGGTACATCCTGATTCATAGGCAGAGAGGGAGGGAGAGGGAGAGGAAGAAAGAGAGAGAGAGGGAGAGACCGGGCTGACAGGGGATTTTGAAAACTCGAAGTCAACTCCTAGTAACACATTTCCTCCCAAAAAGCCACACCCCCTAATCCTTTTCAAAGTTGTGCCTTATATTTGACTAAGCATTCAAATATATGAACCTTGGGAGGTGATTCTTTTTCAAACCACCACAGGGACATTTCCTTTGCTGTTCCAGCGTTCTGTGGTTCTGTGACATAGGACAACATTGTGGTTACTGCTTCTATCCGGACCGAACCACCTCAGTTCTACTCTTCCCCTCTCTCTTCACCTCACCACTTCTCATCCATTATCTTCTTCAGCTGAAATGACAAGAGGTTACAACATTCGCTCCCTCACCCTGCCTGTGTTCATCCCCACTTCACAACACCCCACTTCCCCTCTAGAAGGCACCTAAAAAGAGAAAAAACCCACAGGTGAACTTTCACTGTCTTGAGGAATAATTGTAGGGTTCTCCCCCATTTTTGTGCTCATCTGGAAATAAATGCATCCTCATTCCCCCCCACACACACACACCATTCAGCACCCTCACACTCTATGCCCTTCACCTAAGCCAGGTTCCCAGTGGAGTTCCACCTTGTCTCTCTGTCCTGTGCAATGGGACATCTGTCTACTATGGTATCTTTCACACTCTGCCTCCCTTGCCTTGGAGCCGACTCTGATTAGGCATCTACCCCGAGCTCCTGACCTTCCTCTTGTCAAGGTCACAGAGGACCACCCGGCTAGTGAATGCCAATGTCATTCCTAAGGATTATTTCTTAGGTCTTCCATCTCCCTGATAGCAGTGTACTCCAGAGTGATTGGCCCCTAGAGAAGGACTTCTTTAGGCCATCCTTTATGCTGGTTATGGACCAGCCATGCTGTCAGGCCCCTGCCTTGTGGGTAGCTCCCTGTACCTCAGGCCTCTTGCTGGTGGTCTGTCTTCCTAATGTTCTCCATGATCAAGTCCCAGGGCCTGGCTTGGTCCTGCCTTCTTCCACCTGCACTCTTGCTCTTGGTGTTCTGACCACTCCTAAATACAAAGCCCTCCCCAGATTTCACATATGCCTTACAAATAAAGCCTTCACACATATTTCCAAAGCTGAGTTTCTAACACTATCCAAAACTATGAACAAACACAAAGAAAACAAATCAGCTCCCTAATGTGGGCTGATGGAAAACTCACCCATGTGAATTTCCCATACCATCCCCACAGGCAGTCAATTTGGCAAATAGTCCCTTTCTAAGCCTGGTTTAGATAAATGTTAATTCCAAAATGAAGGTAGTGAGTTTTTACATGGAGTCTACTTCCTACCTGGTCATCTTTTAATTCTCTGTCTGTTCAAGACAGGGTTTCGTGCAGCCCAGGCTGGCCCCTGACTGCCTGTGTGTAAAAGATGACTGTGCCCAATGTAGACTTTTTTCTGGTCACCCTCATTTTCTAGAATCTTACCACTTGTTGGCAGAG